TCTGTAAAAAATGGCTGTAATTCCTAAACGGTTAATGCAATATTTTTGTTAAACCCCTTGAATTAAAGCTGAAAGTCTACGCTTCAGTCACATCTTGACTGCTTCATTTCAAATCCACTGTGGTGGTGTACAGAGGCAAAATTACCAAAACTGTGTCACTGTCCCAATATTTATGGACCTGACTGTATATATATGTGTGCGTGTATGTATGTGTGTGTGTGTGTGTGTGTATATATATATATATATATATATATATATATATATATATATATATATATATATATATGTATATATATGTATATATATGTATATATATATAATATATACATACATACATATATATATAAACACACACAAGATATCTGTGAGTAATTAGGGCCCTACAGCATTTTACTTGTTCAAAATTTATTGGTACTTTATTAGCAGCTTTTCTTCCAATAGCAAGACACAATATTATCTATTATTACAATATTATCTAAATTTATACAAATTAGTACAGAGCCACTAAGGTGACATGGTGGTTATTTTAAGGTGTGGCCATAAATTAACATATTGAGGTCATGAGATAATATTTCAGGGCCACAAGCTAAGTATCTCATGTGTAAGTTATATATACATACATAAGACATGGCTTATTTGATGGGATCAGATGAAGAGGTCTGTTATGTGGGCTAATGGTATATCCATGTCACAACAGCAGTGACTCCAGTATGTCGATTTGCATTATTCCTAGCTTGAAGTAAAGTGTAAAAGAGCTTTGAAGGAACTTTGACCGTGACATAGTTGTTGGTGCCAGACTGGCTGGATTAAGTATTTCAGAAACTGCTGATTGCTAGCGATTTTCACACACAACAGTCTCTAGAAAAACAAAAAAGCAGCAGTTCTAAAGTGGAAATGCCTTGTAAATGAGAGAGGTCAGAGGAAAATGGCCAGACTGGTTAAAGCTGACAGGAAGGCAATAGTAACACAAATAACCACTCTTTACAACCGTGGTGAGCAGAAAGGCATCTCAGAATGCACAGCATCCCGAACCTTGAGCAGAAGACCACATCAGGTTCTACTCCTGTCAGCCAAGATCAGGAATCTGAGGCTACAGTGTGAACAGGCTTACCAAAACCGGGCAGCTGAAGATTGGAAAAAGAACAGACAATGTTTTTCCAATATCAACTGTCCAGATTTGAACACTCAAAAACACAAAATAATGATAAAACGAACAAAAGACCAAGTATAGACTAAGTAGGAAACACTTAAGTTGTGGCATAGAGTTGTTGTGTAGTCATGTGTTAATAAATCCCTATCAAAAGTCCATTTACAATAAACAAATCAAAGGTGCTGATTTAACAAGCAATGAAAAGTAAAAGCTTGGATATAGCAGTGTATTCTGTAATGGCCAGATGTAACCTAGATGCCCAGCCTGGCACTGATCTGGCATGTTTGCCCTGTGCTACGTGCCATTTGTTCTCTAAACCCTGCCAAACAAAGACATTTTGATATATTCTCTCAGGAATACTGATGTCTGGACGTCTCTGTGGGTTTCACTGTTTAGTTGCTGTGATACTGTATGAAGGTTTGTTTGTGCTGTTTATAGTGATGATGCAGCTTTGCATGGCTGACATATTATCTGCAATGTGCGTTTGTCATGTCACCATTCAGTTCCATTCAAATTAAATGTGTGTATTCAATATCCATCATTTCTCTCTCTCCACAGTCTCAGCCTAAACAGCCCACTTCCACCCCATCAGTGCCGGCCTCCACTGTGAAGCCTGCCCAACATGAGGTACAGTTCATCATTCTATCTGCCTTCCCTCTCATTTTTACAATTTCTGCATATTGTATGAGATGTTTATGAAGCCACTTCCTGCTCTGCATGGCAGACCCCTCCCCCATCCCAACAGCCTTCTTCCATGATCAGTATTGTTCTCTTTCCTGTTGCTGTGAATGAGTTGTTCTGAGTATTTGAGCCTGGCCTTATTACAGAACCATGAGCCTGAATAGAGAACACAGATCACCTCCTGTACAAACATTCAAAATCATCGCAGACTCGCTCGAATCTAAGATGGTTGCTCATTAAAGTGTGCGAAAGGCAACTTGTTGCAGAAATAAGCAATTTATGACAAGATGCAGAGACTTGCTTGCCTTTATAAAAGCATCAGATCTTGAAAAAAAAAAAAAAAACCGCCCCACAATAGGAAAATAATCAACAACAGGGTGGTGTGTTGCATCTGGACATGAAGTGGAGTTACTGTTACCACTGTAATTTTCCTATATTGGCACATTCTATCTACTTATACTACAGCAATTTGCCAATGATTATTGAATTTTGAATTTAATAATGACCGTCACTACTGTTATTGAAAGTTAATCAACATTAACAATCAATCAGATTCGAGAAATCAAATTCAACAGCGTTGTGGTATAACGTGAGATAAGAACCACT